CCCCTCGGCAGGTACGCGGCCTCAGGGCGCCGGCTGTGGCGCCCCCTGGCGGACGCGGGAGGCCGGGGCGGCGGGGCCGGGGCGGGGTCCGGCGGCCACCGGGGGGACAGCACTGGGGCACGGGCACACGGGCCTCTGCAGAGCCCGGCCCTGCCACATCCCAGCCACAAAGCCATTGGGATAGCGCGAAGAGAGCAGGCAGGCGCTGGTCCCCGAGTCCCCAGCACGACGCTGTCTGTCCCTGCAGGATGGCCATGGGCTCTCCCACAGCCAGCCGGCAGCTGCTGTACCGCAGCACCCGCCTGCTGCGCACGGCCTTCCAGCACCTCTACCAGCAGCAGCAGCGAGCCGACGTCTTCTGCGATGTGGTCCTGTGGGCTGAAGGTGAGAGGGCAGCACTGCCTGGGGAGAGGCCAGTACGAGCGAGGAGCTGCAGGCAGAGTCTCTGCAATCTCCTGGGAAAGACTGGGGTGAGCAGGAAGGGCTGCAGGGCAGTAACAGCCACTGTTTCTTTGCAGGCGAGGCAGTGGTGGCCCACTGCAGTGTTCTCTCCGTCTGCAGCCCCTTCTTCATGGAGCAGCTGGGCCGGGAGCTGCCCCCCCAGGGTTGCAGGGTGGCGCTGAAGCTGGCGGGGCTGAAGATTGGGGTGCTGCGCAAGCTGGTGCGCTTCTTCTACACTGCCGAGCTGGAGGTCACGCAGGAGGAGGTGCACGAGGTGCTGGCAGCTGCCCGCCGCCTCCGTGTCACCGAGCTCGAGTCACTGCAGCTCTGGGGAGGACGCCTGGTGAGACTGAGACCCCAGCGGCAGCTCGACCGCTCCTGCCTGCATTCCACTCAGGAAGTCTCCACCGTGGGGGCACCTGACTCAGCTGAGCCTGGCAGTGCCAGCTCTGCGGTGTCCCCCCAGAGGCAGCCACACTCTCTGGGGCACTCACACCCCAGCCCCATCGGGCGGATGAGGCTGCGGAAGGTGCAGCACTGGGGGCACTGGGAGGTGGTGCAGGAGGCCGTGCCTCCGGCAGTGATGGTGGGGGATGTGGGGGTGACAGAAGCACAGCCCCCCCAGAATGTGGATGCACGGGAGCAGGTGAGCAAGTGCTCCCCAACCCAGCAGTCCCCCAGTGAAAATGGGATGCAGCAGCATGGGGACTCCCCTGTGTCCTCGCAGGGCTGCCAGCAGGCAGTGCTCCCAGGAACTCCTGGAAGTGACACCAAGGAGGAAGAGGTGGATGTGGGAACAGGGGAACTATTCCTGCCCCCTGGCACAGTGTGCCTCTGGCCCAGTCCCTCATCTGAGTCAGAAGAGGAGGTGGATGTCCTCACCTAGAGGGGGCTGGCTCTGCCTCTCCCCCCACCAGTGCCTGTACCCCTTGGGCTGCATGTCCTTGGAATAAAGGGCTGAAGCTGTGCTGTGGAGTACTAAACTTTATTGGAGATTGGGGGGACAACGGGGTGTGGAGGGAGCCAGGGGTCTGGCAGTGGCAGAGCTGCAACATCAGGGACGGGACTGGGGCAGGTGGGTGCCCCCCACTTGGTCTCGCCTCTTCATGGACGCTCATGCCGCCTGTGCCGATCCTGGCTTGGCTGTGGAGAGAGGGAAGTCGGTCCCTGTTGGTCCCATCCCTGCCCTATCGCATCCCAGTCCCATCCCCGCTCACCTGGCCAACACCTCTATGCCAAGCTGCTCTTCAGGGCTTCCACTACTGTCTCCGGCTGGGGAAACTTCAGCTTGCGGGGGGGCCCCTTCCCGATACCGCTCCACAGCTCCACGGCTGCAGAGGTAAAGGGAGATTATGGGATCAAGGGTGCCGGGGAGCCCTCCGCCCCCCTGCCCAGCACTTACTGCTGCCGTCCTCCTTCACCAGGGACACCTCGAAGCTGTTCCTGCGCGGCGGCCGGGGGTTGATGTCCACGGGGAGGTGCGCCATGGCCCCGCGCAGGGCCGCGCTCACCGCCGCCGCGTTCCGCCCGAACACGCGTCAGCTCTTGCTGCGGGGACACGGCGGTCAGCGACCCCGGGGCACCCAGGGGCCTCACACCGCCCTCGGCGCCTCGGCCGCTCACCAGTGCTCGATGACGACACGGGGGCCGATGTCCCCGGGGCTGCACTCGTCTTGGGCTTGGGCCCGCGCCCGCTTCTGCGGAGCTCCCGCTGTCTCCGGTGCCTCGGCCGCCGCCGGCTGCTGGGCTCCGCGCTTCCTCCCGCGGGGAGCCATCCTGGGAGAGCCGAGGCGGTGGAGCCTACGCCGGCTGCAGGAATGCCACTCCGGGGTGAGAAGGGAGCTCAGGTACCCCGCTGTCCGGGGAGTGAAAAGTGGGTCCCTGTGGGGACACTACTGTGGGAGAGGGCCCGGATGGGCCAGTCCCCGGCGATGCGCCACG